CTGGGTGTCTCCTGGTGGATATGATCAGGAGATAGGCTTCCCTTTTCGCATGTAATGCTTAGCAGCTGTTATTGGCTCTTGTATCAACAGTGGAATATTATAAGGTATGCTTATGCTTATAGCTTGGCTATATGGCTACAATTCCTGTCTCTTCTTGGGTAACATAGGGAGACAAATCTTCCATCTTCAGGAAAAATGTGTGATAAAAAGGACCAAAAGCATAAGCAATATAAAAGCAAAGACAAAAACCACCACTTTGAAACAAAAATAAAACTGTGGCCGACTGTCCAGTCACCTTGCTACACAGTGTGTGTGCACCATAGAAGCCTCCAGCAGTGGGTGGGGGTGTCCGCTCGCTCAGGCCCCTCCTCTAGTCACCACTGTAGAGGTGAGCAGATAGATATTGAGAAGTTAATGGGAGAAATATTGTCTACTATTTTTGTTTCTGAAGGTCAGTTAGGTATCTGTGTGTGCACAGCATAATTCTCGAGATAGTTGTGTCCTTTTATGTTGGGATTTTACAGATTGTTCATGTGGTTTGTCTGTCAGATCTGACAGGCCTGCTTTTTTCTTGCTAGATAGGCCAGAGTAAAGGGTCCAGCACAAGTTAATTTTAGGGCTGCGACCCCGAGGCTGACATCATAAGCAGATGCCAAGCTCTTTCTCTCTGTGCCGTGGGCTCTGGACTTTTTTCGTGGGTGAGCACCCACCTGCCTGAAGGCGTCCGGGCTGGGCAAAGAAGGCGCAACAGAGAAGAGGAGGAAAAAACATGTAGAATCCCCCGCACCTCTTTTTGCAAATATCACTGCACTGCTTTTAGCTCCGGTTCCTTTTGCCAGTCTGGCTGTAGCCAGACTGTGCCCACCCTCTGAACTCCACCAGGGTGGGGTGGCCCCAGAGGGAGTCCCGTCTCAAGCAATTCCTAATTCGCAGTATTTTCCTTTATATCGTGAATTTTCCACTTGCGCGTGCGGGAAACTAAAGCCCTGGATCTTATGCTAGATCCGGAAGCTCTGGTGTTGTTCCATGAATGCAGCTTCTCTGGGTTTTCAATCCCTCCCCCATGGAGCCTTTCCTACCTGGCTGTCTCTGCCGCCAGCAAAACTCTGGTCATCTCATGTTTTCTTACAATCTCCGTCCATCTTCTTTTGATGCTTTCTATGTCATCTGATACTTTGCCCTTTTATTGCTGGTAACATAGTGGTTATAAATCGGGCTGTGAACCACAAGGTCAGCAGTTCGAAACTACCAGCTGTTCTGTGGGAGAAAGATGAGGCTTTCTGCTCCTATAAAGATTTACAGCCTCAGAAACCCTGTACAGGGTCGCTATGAGACAGAACCGACTCCACGGCACACAACAACAACAACAACAACATTTTTGTTTTTAAGTGCCATCAAATTGGTTCCAACACATAGTGACCCAGTATACAGTTTCTAAAGACTGACTGGCATGTTTGAATTGCTGACCTTGTGGTTAGCAGTCTAGCCCTCATCCAATTCTACAATATTACAGCACCAATTCTACAATATTACAGTTTGAGGTTTGAATTTTTCTTCAGTTCTTTAAGCTTGAGAAATGCTGCACATGTTCTTCCCTTTTGGTTTTCTATCCATGTCTGCACATTTCGTTAGAATACTGTACTGTGTCTTCTCAAACTGCCCTTTGAAATCTTTGGTTCAGCTCTTTTACTACCTCATTCATTTCTTCCATTTGGTTTAACTTCTTTACATTCAAGAGCAAGCTTCAGGGTTCTTCTGACTCATTTTTGCCTTTTCTTTCTTTCCTGTCTTTTTAATGACCTTTTGCTTTCTTCCTGTATGATGTTCTTGATGTCATCCCATAAGCCCTCTGGTCGTTAGTGTATAATGCATCAAATTTGTTCTTCATATGACCTCTAAATTCAGTTGAGATAAGTTCAAGGTCATATTTTGGCTCTTGTGAACTTGTTTTAATTTTCTTCAGCATCAGCTTGAACTTGCATATGAGCAATTAATGATCTGTTTCACAGTCTGCCTCTGGCCTTGTTTTGGCTGGTGATATTAAGCTCCTTTATCATCTCTTCCCATATAAATAGTCTATTTCATTTGGTGAGGTTCATGTATATGTTATTGTTGTTAAGTGCCATCAAGTCGAATCTGACCCATAATGATCCTGTATAGGGTTTCCAAGGAGCCGCTGGTGAGCTTGAACCACTGACTTTTCAGTTCAAATGACTTGCAGTCTGATGCATTAGCCCACAGCACCACATATAGTGGCCTTTCATGATGTTGAAAAAAAGTATTTGCAATGGAGAAGTCATTGATATTGCAGAATTCTTGCATGCTGCCTCCATTGTCATTTTTATCACCAAGGCCATATTTTCCAAATACTGATCCTTCTTTTGTTTCTAGATTTTTTATTCCAAGCACCAGTAATTATCAAGGCATCTTGATTTTATGTTCAGTCAATTTCAGACTGCAAAATTTGGTAGAATTCTTCAGTTTCTTCATCTCTGATTCTCCAGAGAAGCAAAACCAGGGAGTCATTTATGTGTGTGTGTGTGTGTGTGTGTGTAGTGAAAGAGAGAGAGATTTGTCTCAAGGAAATGGCTCACGTGATTGTAGTGACTGTCAAGTTTTAAGTCCACAGTCAGGTGTCAGGCTGGAGGCTTCTCCTAACTCATGTGGCTGCAGGGGCTGTCCAATCCAGTGTTAGCAGGTCAGAGTGCAGGCTGCTCCTAATGGGTTGCAGAGGCTGATGAATCCAAGATAGGTAAGAGAGCAGGTTGCTGGCCCACAGGCTGTGGAGGCAGATACCAAGAGCTGAAAATTAGATGATGATGAGCCAGAAGCAGGATCCGGAGCAACCATGCTTTGCCAGAACATCCATATATATATATATTGGATTCAGGCTATACTGCTGAGAAAACTCTCCTTACAACTGATTGACTGACCACTTCAGATTACACCATGGAGGATAATTACATCATTATATAACTGCCAAATTAAACCATTACATAATTGCCAAACTACATACAACCTTAACCAATGTAATCTTATGCTTCAGTAAAAATTTTATTACCAAAAAACATATACAAGTACAAATCTCCAACAAGCATGTGAAAAGATACTTAAATGTCATTAGTTACTAAGAGAAAAATGCAAATTAAATCTCCAGTGAGACCACTTCATACCTATGAGGATTTCTACAATGAAGTAAACAAACAAAACTCAGAAAATTTGTGTTGGTGAGAATGTGGAGAAATTGGAACCCTTTTATATTTCTGGTAGTGATGTAAAATGGTGCAACAACTGTGGAAAACAGTTTGGCAGTTTCTCAAAAAATTAAACATAGAGTTCCCATATAACCCTGTAATTCCACTCCTAGTTATATACCCCAGAGAATTGAAAATAGATACTCAAACAATACTCTTATGCCAGTGTTCATAGCAGTATATTCACAATTGTCAAAAGGTGAAAACAGCCCAAATGCTCATCAACCAATGTATAGATGAGCAAAGTGTGGTATTTTCCTACAATAGAATATTATTCAACAATAAAAAGTAATTAAGCACTGATACATGCTACAATATGGATGAACCTAGAAAACACTATTCTGGGTGATAGAAGCCAGACACGAATGATCACATAGAGCATAATGTATTACTTTATTTATATGAAATTTCCAGGATAAGCTAACCTATATAGACAGAAAACAGGTTAGTGATTTTTAGGACTCAGAGGAAGAGAATATGGGGAGCAACTGTTTATGGGTACCGAGTTTCCTTTTGGGGTGATGAAAATGTTTTAGAAGTAGATCAAGATAATGTTTGCACCACATTGCGAATGTACTAAATGGCACTGAATTGTACACATTAAAATGGTTAATTAAAAAAAAAAAGTTTACTGAAAAAAGATGACTCTGGAAAAATCAAGGTAGCTAAAGACTTAGGGAGACATGCAAGAGTTAACGTGAATAGAGGTAAATACTATTAACTGATGGTACATGGAGAGGATTGCAATCATTGTAATAAAACGAAGTGTCTGATTTGTTGAATGTGTGACTGATAATCTGCTCCGTAAACCTTCACTCAATTCACAATAACAGGTTTTAAGAAAGAAAGTAATGGGCCAAGTAGAGTGAGAAATGTTGATTTTAAAGAAATGGCTGGGAGAATGGGTTTGGAAGATGGAATAAGGGAGGCCAGTAAGGGGGCTTGGCAGTAGTTGAGAAAAGTATGGATGGTAGCTAGAGTTAAGGAGGTGGCGATATAGAAAGAAGTAGAAAAATTCCAGATATGTTATAAAATTAACAGAACTTGTTGGTGGATTGAACATAGGATATGAAAAACAGAGGAACATTAAGAATGACTCTTGAGTTTTTTTGCCTTGAACAATTCGGGAAATGATGGTGTTCTATTACCCCACAATGGAGGGATGAGGATCCCCTTGGCAGAGGTTCCTAAGTCTTAGGATGCAGTGACTTCCTCCAGGACTGAGTTATAAGCAACACTGATCTAATTGAATGTGAGCGGATCCGATTACCTTTTCTTTACTTCTGGTAATAGCTTCACTCCAACCTTAGCCAGTTCCCACATTAAGGTATTTAAAAAATGATTTTAAATAGAAGACTCAAGAGTTGTTTCTGGCTCGCATTTAGCATTTCCTTGCACATTCTCAACTCTTTTCTCATGATGCTAGGCCTTCCCTAATAGGGTCATCAGGCTCAGTTTCAAACATCTGCCTTCCTTCTCCTACCTGGAGACTTGGGTAGTCTTTCCTCAAATTCCCCATCTGTTCTTGGGTCTGAAATGTGTTGTCAAGATTGTTGAGACTGCTGCAGACTGCACAGTCCTGCTGGGCTTCTTTTTCTTCGTTCTTACTCCTAAATGGCCTTTGGTGACACCCCAGGTCTTACTTGCCGAGTGTTTCATTGGGAAGCCTCCCACCCTATGTAACAGCTTGTACAGACTGGCACTGTAGCCATGTGTGAGCCTCACTTGGTCTCTTACACTCTACAGGAGACTCCCTCACCACTGAAGGTCGGTTTATGAACAACTGTATTCAAGCCAGGAGGAAATGCCAGGCCAACCCCACATGCAGTGCTGCCTATCACCACCTGGATTCCTGCATCTATAGTGTAAGCACCCCATCACCCTCAAAGGAGCCTGCGGAATGCCTTGAGGCAGCACAGCAGCTTAGGAACAGCTCTCTGATGGGCTGTTCATGCAACCGGCGCATGAAGAACCAAGCTATCTGCCTGAGCATCTATTGGACTGTTCACAATGTCCGCAGTCTTGGTGAGGCCCCCCATACTAGACTGGACTGAGTGGGGGAAATGGGAAGATGGCTATTTATTAAATATTTATTAATTGGGGGTTATTTATTAATCCTGCAGAATATGGACCGGTTGGTCGATTTTAACAGGGATGATGGTGAAATTCTGTACTTGACATCAGTAAGAGGTGAAGGGAAGAATTGGCAGTATCCTTTCGGGTGCCGACAATACTGCTCTCTCCTCTTCCAACTCCCCTTTTTTAACCTGGCAACATGTAGCTCCCTCTTGGCAGAGCACTGAACCAGGTTGAGGACTAGCTTGGGAAGCTGCTGGAACAGAAGGGTATAGAGGGAGGTGGAGCAAAGGTGTAATCCATAAACAGTCTCCATATATGATGTAACCCACAAATTCAGATAGATTGGGAAGTAGCATTCTGGTCTAAGCTTTAACCAAAAGGATACTTATTAATCAGACAAGAGAGAGAAGGCACAGGAAGAGCCAAAGAGAAGAGTTTCATCTGACTTTTTTCTTAAACCCTTCTTTGTATTTGTTTTTACTAATCTACAGTAACAAAACAGTGACTTGCAAAACAAGTTTATTTCTTGCTAATGTTCTTTGTTGCCTGTTTCGTGTATGTTCTTGATTCTGAGAGTCATGCTAAACACACAGCCTCATGTGGGATGTGCTCTTATCATGACAGAAGAAAACAGCAATAACAGAACCATGCAATGGCTTTTTTCTTTTTTTAAGTTTGTATTGTGAATCGAGTCATAATTTACATGGGGGAACATCGGTTTTACATTCATCGTTTCATTGCAATGATTACAATCTCCTCTGTGCATCATCATTCAACAGTACTTGCTTTTATTCCCTGTGGGGTTTTTTTTTTTTTTTTGTAGGGGGGATGTTCACAAAAGCACTCAGGAATATATAATCATTTAAACAACCAAAGGACACATTCTGCAAGCCTGCCTCCTGGCTACCAACACCTGGCTGACAGTACACAGCATTTCTCTTTCTATGAGTCTAGAGTCCTCAGCTACTCTCTGTCTCTATGCCCTCATCTCTGGTGTCACTCCTTCTCTGGATAAGGTCCCACATTCCACTCATGTTCTTCTCGCTTGATGGTTCTAGGGTTCTTTGTTCCTGGACTGTAAGATGAACTACTCCCCTCTTTTTGTTACAAAATTTCTACCTTTACAGTTGTGACAGTCACAATTAGTTATGATAACAAGTACTCACTATTGAGTCATAAGAATCTTATCCCCAGCTGCTTTCACCAGACCCTTCTAGACCAGATGAAAACTTTTCAGCAGGGATTCTACCTTCCCCTAATCACTCTGAAACTGAACTCCCTCTTGCAAACTTGTAAACCAATCACTTCGTGCCTTTATAGCCCTTCCCATTTTAGGTAGCCAATGATCTTGGATATGAAAACTCCTTCTCTCTCAGTTTGTATTATGAGCTACTACATCACTAAGTAAGGAGCTCTGGTAGTGTAGTAGTTACAAATTGGGCTGCTAACCTTATGGTCAGCAGTTCGAAACTACCAGCTGTTCCGCGGGAGAAAGATAAGGTTTTCTGCTCCCAAAAAGATTTACAGCCTCGGAAACCCTATGCAGGGTTACTATGAGTCAGAACCGATTCCACGGCACATAGCAACAACAACAACACATCTATAAGTATAGGTCAAGTTCATAAAATTGTAGTAATTTACACTTGTTTCCTTTTTTGGGTGTTCTTGTTCATCTCCCCTCACTTCACTTCAGCTGGGTGCTTGCTCTCTGCTCCAGCCCTCCATGGCTATGTGCTTATTCATGGGCTCATGAGTCCCCAGGTCTTACCACACTTAGAACCAACCAACTCCTCTTCTTCTCTCTCTCATCTGCAGGTTGATGGGAGTCTATGGAATGTGGTTGAACTCAGCCCATATCTTCATTGCTGCCTTTTTCCCTCTTCCACTCACCAGGAGACCAATGTGGTCACCAGCAAGCTTACTTGCCTGCTCATGTGTTCCCTTTGAGTTTTAGTCTTGGAGGGGAATTTGTCCTGAAAGGACTTGATTGCTTACCTTGATGGCTCCCCAAAGAACAACTTGCTTGTTCTTATGGTAGCTAATCAGACTGCCATTTTTGTTTTGGATTTTTCCTTCTGGTCTGTCTTTCAAGAAGTATCTTCTATTCCTCTTGCTTTTCCAGGCTGGTCTCATGCAATGGCTTTTAAAGCTTCTGCTCAGAGGTTACATACACTGTTTCTGCTCAGAATCCATTGAAAAAGAAGGTCACATGGCCAAGGTTGAGGCAATGAAATACACATCTCCTACCAAAGACACTGCAAATCACATGACAGTAAATAAGGATATAGAATCTTACAAAAGGCAAAAAATTATTGGGCAAAATAATCTGATCTACTGTAGTCCAACACTTGGTCAAAATATTCACTTCCCTCCCCTTTACAGCAAAATACACTACCCACTTCTCAAGGAAGATGCTCTAAAAGTTCTATACAGGCATGACAACAGGCTCAAAGTCTAAGATCTCATGGTAGTCTCTATATCAGATCCTGATATGGCTCCTCTTGATCTAGAAACCTGTGAACTAAAAAGACAGGTCATCAGCCTCTCATGCATACTGAATATACAATAACGGAACAGGGACAGGATAGCCATAAATAACACTCCCAGTTAGAAAGGAGAAGAATGGAAGGCACACAGCAGACACTGGTTCATAGCAATTCTGAAATTCCATTAGACAAACTTTTTTGCCTGAGAGTATATGAATTGTTCCGTAATAAAGGCCTGCTTCTGCTCCATGGGAGTAGTGCTCTCTCTATTCACTGTTCTCTAGAATTCTTGGTCCAAGCCCTTTGGGGGAGTCCTTTTTTAACCCCCTTTATTTTATTTGGCCACATCGGAAGAGGGCATTGGAGACTACAGCCTACTGGGGGACTGAGCAACTGCCTGAGGAATGTTGAGGCATTTAGAGGCTCAAATGTTACAGTCTCTTTAATCCAGGCTTGTTTAACAGTACAACTCTTTCAAACCTCTTGCTTTTTTATCTCTTTGATATCTGTCACCTCATGTGCCAGTAGCCTTTCTCACAGTTCTTTTCATAAAGACATGGAATCTCTTGTAGACCCAGTTAGAAGTACCTTGCTCTATAGAGTTTCTATGAGTCAGAATTGACTTGATCACAGTAGATTTGGTGCCCGTATCAAGCTTCTGGGGGAGAGCCAGTATTTCCACCCCACCCCCCACCCCCACTTGAGCACGTTGGTTCAACTGGAAGGCTTTATTGGGTGCCTTCTAAATCAAATGAGAAATGTCTAAAAAGGCATGATAGCCATACACTTGATTTGATCTTTGCTCCAAGACTAAGTTATAATCAACCTTATCACTCAAAACATGTTTCCACTTTAGCTTTTGCCATTTGAATATGTGAAAGAATTTTATCTCTCAATACTGCAAGACATGAAATTTCTGGTTTCTCTCTCTTCCCTTTCATCTGTACTTGCAAACCGATCAATTCTATCTTGAGTTTATAACTTTCTCGTAGTACCCTGTCAAATGCAGCCAACAGCTGATTTTTAGCTTCTTCCCTTAAAGCACAAGCTCATTCAGTGCATCAAGTTATCGCAAGCAATAATTTTACCAAATGCTTTGCCACTACCGGAAATTCTGGATGACTAATGAGTTCCATTCCTAAATCCATCTTTAAGTCAAATATGTAAGTCAGAACAGTTAGGTGTAGTTAGTATCTAATGTCAGTTACTCAAATGGTTTTCTTGGTATATAGTATATAGTAAAGGAGCTCTGGTAGCATAGTGGTTATGAATTGGGCTGCAAACCGCAAGGTCAGCAGTTCAAAACTACCAGCAGTTCCTCAGGAGAAAGATGGGGCTTTCTGCTCCTGTAAAGATTTACAGCCTTGGAAACCCTGTACAGGGTCACTATGAGTCAGAACTGACTCCGTGGCACATAACAACAACAACATAGTATATAGTATACCTTTCTATACATAAAAACATTAAAGAAATCTGTCTAGATACAATAAAACATATTTACCCTAATAACGTTATTGTTGCTAAGTACCAACTCATAGTGGCCCTGATTAGGGTTTCTAAGGCTGTAAATCTTTGTGGGAGCAGAAAGTCTCATCTTTTTCTCAAGGAGCGGCTGGTGGGCTCAAACCACTGACCTTGTGGTTTTCAGCTCAGTGTTTGTTCTACAGAACGACCACACTCCCCATATAATAATACAGAATAGTAATAATAATGTTTTTCTGTACCCATTGTAAGTCAGGCATTCGTAATCTTTCCAGCTCCCAGTAGTCGTGTTTTCACTACCCACTGCCCAGTCTCAAAACAGTGCCACGCATTTTAGATTTCTTTTGTTATGGCAGCCCTCCATTCTAGGTATCATTTGCTGTATTAATAGAATTTTGTAGGTTATGCTGCAGTAACGGACAACTCCCAAATCTCTGGCTATCAACAACAAAATGTCTTTTTTGTTCATGTTACACATCTGCTGCAAGCGTCCACAAGTTGGCTTCATTTCTGCTTCACCTTTCTTCTTCATTCTAGAATCCAAATGGCAGAAGGAAAAGAACAATAACAGAACTCAATGTTAGAGTCCCCATACTCTATTTACATGGTCACACCCAATCATTTGGTAAGAGTTATGAAGACTATAGATAGAAGAGCCATATCAAGTAAATTCATGGTACCACAGTGCGTCTGAGCAACTAATTTCTCTCATCCTCAGTTTTTTCTTACTTACCCTAAACTTATAGGAGGATCAAATAAGACTTTATACACATATACAAAAACACATTCTGTTTTGTTTACCTAGTGCAGCTGTAACAGAAATACCAGAAGTGGGTGGCTTTCACAAACAGGAAGTTATTTTCTTACAGCAGGCTAGAAGTTCAAATTCAAGGTGCTGGCTCTAGGGGAAAGCTTGCTGTCTGTGTTGCCTTTGGAGGAAGATCCTCGTCCCTTTGAGCTTCTGTGCTCCTGGGAGAT